TTCAGTCTAATCCTTCAGAAGAAATTCCAATATTGTCGAGTTCTGAACTTAAAGTTATGATTTGTGTCTGTGACTTGATTTCTAGACCCCTTAAATGGATAGGATGTGCTGCAGGCAGAAGGGATCACTGTACACGTTGTATCACTTGGGCACTTTGTCTGGGATTGGCCCTGAAGTTGGCACTTTGTCTGCACTTCCCCACTATCATCCCTCTGGGATGCCAGGCCACACCATCAATGGCAAGTTAACTTTCCCAGTGCATTCTAAATAAAATACTGTAGACTCATTCACGTTTTACATATTATAGATGTTTTCCCAGGGAAAAGTAGAGCTATAAATCAAGATCTGCCCTCTTGCAGAGTCTGCCTCAAATACCAGATGTCCTACTGAATTATCTGATCTATAAAAATTGGTTAGCAGAGATTAGTAAGAGACTTTAAAATCCATGAGGCTCTCCTGACCTGTTGTTTGCCTTATTTCATGCTTGATACATTTTTGAGATACTGAAAATTTTATCTTGCCCAAGAGGCAGTCATGGATAAAAGTTGGGAGCTACATGAAGTATTCAAGGTCATGGTCATTACTGTGACATCCGCATCCTGTTACTTCTCCCCAGGGTGCTCGGTGTCAAAGGGAGCCTGGGATATGTGCCACAGACAGTGGTCTTGCAACAACCATGAAGGCCTATAATATGGAAATGTTTGAAGTTGCTGGACATTCAGCCAGTTTGGGACAAAGGAAAACTGTAGATAGATCTTGGAGATTTCTGATTTTTTTTCCTTTGTTGGAGTCTCTTATCAGGGCTGGCAGTCACGAGTGGCCCAGTAGCAGACCATCCAGCAGACTGGTTTGGGGGCAGTGCAGGGTGATCTGACTTAATAAATAAAAGGATTTCTCACATCTTGTAGAGTGAGACAGAATGCAGCTTCATCACCCAACAAGAGAACTGTTCATAAAAATGTGACACACAAAGTGAAAGGCTATGGAGTGTTTGAGTAAATTATGATCAAAAATTTGAGATTTTGCAATACAGTCTTTGTCCTCTAGATTTCTCAATGTTATAAATCTCCTCTTAGACGTAAATATCCCTAATTGCTTTGCTGATATATTTTAGGTTATATATTATGGCATGCATCATTTAAGATTCTGAATACATTCATATAGGAACATACATGGCATTGTTGGCATTGTTTGGGCTTGGCAAGTGTTTGTGGAAGAGGAGGGGTTTTCATTTTTTTTTTTTAGTGTTTTAATATGACACTGTCAAAATTTTAAAATTGAGTGATTTTTGTTTATATTGCTAAAATAGTTATAAACCTCTATGGTACCTAATATTTACTGGATGAGGAATTAACATGTTTTCTATCAAGTCTCAACCCAGTTTCATTAATTTCAATTATAGCAGAATAAATAGTCTCAATCCAGGAGCCAAATGTTCATTCCAAATCACCTTCCTAAGATAATAAATTAACTTCCTAAGGTGTCCTTCCTGCCTTCTTTTCTTTTGGTCACTTACCTATTAGTGCTTTACCTTGCCAATCACTGTGATACCACAATGTTGGAAATATTCTCTGACTAAAAATGCAGTGGATAAAATAGAAATGTGCCTGTGCAAATAATCATAGGTACATGTACATGCAGAGACACTCATGGGTACATACATGCACCTGAGCACATACACATATACATCTGTCATATGGAGAAGGCAGACCATGGACAGTATTTTTAATGTTCATGAATCTGTTGCTTTAAGAGGTTGACACAAGCAATTGTGTGTCAAAATTGCTGATTCACAGTTTGTCTGAGTGACTACAGTTAAGGGGTTCCTACAACGAGTCTTCTCATCCTACCACACAGTCTACAGTGCTGAAAGGTCCAAACTTTGCCCAGTTCACCAAAAGACCTCAAGGAATTGGGGGTGGAGTTAAGAGAAAGTACCTGCAAATCAAAAAATGTGTTCTCCCAGGCCGCCCAGAAACACTGACATGTTTTGAAGGTGTGTCCAGGGAAAGGACATCTAAGCCCTTCCTTGTGTGGCTCCACACTTACCCTCAATCAATTTGATCCTGAAGTAGGCAATGAGGAGGAGTAGCAGCAAAACCACAGGCAGGAAGACCCCAAAGAACAGGAACCAGCCGGGGAGCTCTCTCAGGAAGGCCGACAGCACAGGGTTCATGGCCAAATGTAAGACCTTGTTGGGCAGTGGTGCTTGGAGGCTGAGGTTGTATACTGCCAGGGCTCTGGCCTTTGCTCAGCACATCTCTGTGGAACTTTTTGTGGACTTTGCTCTGTTTAAATTGCCCCATTATTCTGAGATTGCTGGCAGGTTACTTTGTAACTCAGTTACAAAGTGTAGAGCAATTGAAAAGCTAATCTCCCAAGCTCTGCTAGAGATGAGTGTTTATCTGGTGGGGAAGGAGATGATGCCAGGAGCCTCAGATTCTTTGTACTCAGTTTAACTGGAATGTACTTCTCTGAGAGGTGCATTCATTTATTCAACTAGAACCAACTTATTCGACCAGAACCTAATCTATGCTGGGTGTATGAAGAAGAGCAAGTCATGGGCCCTGCGGCCTCTTAGAGTATCTGAGACAAGAAACAGTGGCCACAAGTGACAGTGGTGGAATGGCTGGTGCAGTGGCCCCTTTCCTTCCCCCTTGATGCTTGCACTCTTGGTTCTACTGTTTACTTACCTTGGTCCTGTGTCAGAGTGGTGGGGGTTGGGTGGTAACTGGATCCACAGTTTCTGGGAAGAGAAAGAGCAATCATTTAGCCAAAGTCAACACTGACACTGACTTAGTATATGCACTGAGTTGCCTTTAACTGCTTTGGGGAAAAATTTCTCAAGTGAAAGGATCCCTTGGAGAATTTGGAAATTTTGAGAGGGATTGGCAGCTGCCTTCTGGGGGTCATTCTGGTTATGTCTCACCCTGCCTCTGCCCCTGTTGGCAGCTGCCTGACTGGCAAGTGGCCAGTAGTCTATGGACAAACTGCTGTCAGTGTCTCCCAAATTCTTCCCTTAGGGGCTTTACATGGCTGTGCAGAGACTGGCCCAGCTGTAGAGTCTGCACCCTCATTTACCAATCAATCAGATCTGGGATGCTTGCCTGGCATCCTGAACAAGGACCTGTAAAGGATTTCCCTCTCAGAAGACAGGCATCTTAATTCCTGAAGGAACCACTTAGAACAACCCAGATTAAGTCTGCATCCATTGCATTTTACATGCTTCTCCCTTCACTCCACAAACCCCTGGGTGGTGCTGCTGCTATTATTCTTGCATGCCTTCCATTGAGATGGCTCTCTGGTGCTCTCTGGCTTGAACAGGATGCTAATTTGTAAAGTGTCAATCTTCAAGGAACCTCTGTGAGCAGGTGACATTACCAGGGAGATATTAGGTAGCCTGTTTGTCATGTTCTTTCTTCTGTTTCATTCCATTCAGCAAGGTTTTGTGGAATGCCTAGACTAAGGTAAGTAGGGGGAAAAAGCACATGTATAAATGCCAATACTGTTAGCTCTCAGATCAACATGTAAACAAAGTGCAAGGGAAGCACTGAAGAGAGACTGATTAATTCCAGCCAGGGAACTGCTGAGTTCATTAAAAGATAGCATCTGAGCTGAGCCTGGGGGATGGGTAGCTGAGGAAACCCTGCAGCAAACAGAGACAGCAGGCAGGCAGGGTTTGTAGAGGTTAGGGAAGAATTGAGAGTGGCTGAATGGCAGGGAGTTCAGGCCAGAGTGTCTGAAGAGCTGAAGCTGGAAAAATGGGGTAGCATCAAATCTTATGGACCTTGAATGCCCTAAATTCTATGATATTTGGACAAGGGGACTAATCAAAGGTCTTTGATCGTGAAAGTGTGTGATCTGAGGTGGGTGAAGGAAACACTTAGGTAGCACTTTAAATAATGGACTGAAGAGAAGAGATGGGGTAGGCTATCTCAACATAGAATCAAGATATGAGGAGTCTGAGATGGGAGATTGCAGAGGAAGGAGAGAAGCAGACAGAGAGGCTGCAGAAATAAAAAGAACAGCCCTTGGTGAATAATTAAATGTGAGAGAAAGGTAGATTTCACCAATCATCTAACAATCGTTAAATGCTTACTATATAAATAGTTCATGGTTATTATCTTATTTAATCCTCATAGTAATCTTATGAGGAAGAGACTGATACAGATGGGGAAGTGAAGCCAGAGGGGGAGAATGCCTTGCCTAAGACACAAATCTAGTAAGTGACAAAGGTGAGATTTCAATCGTGCCATCTGGTTGGTTGGTGATGATGGTGGGGAGACTCTGGTGCTGCAAACTGAGACCTGAATCTGGGCTGGGCAGCAGGTTTGGATGGGGCACGTATGGAATTTTGCAAGCATTAAATTGGAACTGTTGTCCAGCTAGCTGTTCAGTGGGATCAGAATTACAGAATCCAGGAGAGAGGACAAACTTTGCAATATAGACTTGGAATTTATTAGTGTTTTATTGGCTGGGCTTGACGGGGTGGAGAGATTACTCAGGAAGGAGTGTGCAAAGCATATAAAGGACCACAGACCCTAAAAAATGCTACTGACCCTAAAAAATGCTCTCATTGAGAATATGAGAGGAACGATAAGAATGAGGGAAAGAAATTGAAAAGGAGGGAATCTCTGAGGGTGGGAGAAGAACCAGAGAAAATGGTGTTAGGATATTGGTGGCAAAAGAAGTTTCATGAAGGTGAGATATCATTTAATGGATCTGATGTAATTCTGACCCACATTGAAAGTTTTGAGATCATGATCTTTGAGGCTGACTTAATGGTTTTCTTTTTTCTTTTTAAGTAGCTCCTATGGAGGATATTCATAAAATAAACTTTACACACTTTAAGTGTATAAGTCAATAATTTTTATACGTGAGTGTGCCCATGAAACTATCACCATGATCCAATAATGAATATATCCAACACCCTCAAAGCTTCTCATATCATTTTTCTATCTCCAACTCCCTCACCCAAATCCCAGGCAACCACTGATCTACCACCTGTCACCACTATATATTTGTTTGCGCTATCTATAATTTTGTACAACTAGAGTTATCCAATATATCTCTTTTTTGTTTAGTTTCTTTCACTCATTATAATTATTTGAAATTCATTTGTATTATTGCCTGCATCAATCATGATTAACGTGTATTGTTGAATAGGATTTTATTGTATGGATAAACCATTTGCTTTTCTTTCTCCTACTGATGAACATTTTGGTTTCCTGTTTTAGGCTATGCCAAATAAAGCTTATACAATATTCCTATATGTGTCGTTACATAGACATGTTTTTCATTTCTCTTGGTAAATATCTAGTAGAAGGGTTGGATCATATAATAGAGATAATGTTGATGTTTTAAGAAATTGCCAGACTGTTTTCCAGGTGGTGATACCATGATATATTCCTACCAGCAGTGCATGAGATTCCAATTCCTTCACATACTCAGCAACTCTTGGGATAGTGAGTTGCTAAGAGCCACAGCCAAGTAGTAATGATTCATGGCATTTTTGGTTGAAAGGTGCCAGCAAGCCATTGAGATGATATGATTATGTTAAGATCTGCATTCAAATGGATATTAGACCCCTGCTGTCCACCTTGGCATGCTATGGGACTCCTGGAGAGTTCCTATTGGTTGGGAAAGTGCGGTAGGAGGGAATTCCAGAGGAAGGATTTCCGGTTGGTGTGTGTGTCTGGGAGAACAGGAGAACACCGGGTGTGTGGGTCGGCATATTTCCCAGGAGCATACAGGGCATTGGCGGGAGTTTCAAAATAAAGTTTGTTCCTCTTTGAGTGGCTCATGATTTTGTGCCCAGCCAGACTGCGGCAGTGAGTCTTTTTGATTTTAGCCATTCCAATGGTGTGAAGTGGTGTCTTGTTGTGGTTTTAATATGCATTTCCTTAATGATGTTGAACATCTATTATGTACTTATTTGACATTTGTATTACTTGTTTAATGAAAAGATTGTTCAATTATTTTGCTCATTTTAGGAAAAAAATGTTTTTAAAATTAAAATTTAAGAGTTCATTATGTCCTGGGGTTCTGTGGCTTGTGCTTGTAGTTGTAGCTACTCAGGATGTTGAGGCAGGAGGATCATTTGAACCCATGAGTTGAGACCAGCCTGGACAACATAGTAAAACCACATCTAAAAATCCAACAAGTAGTTTTTTATGTATTCTAGAAGCAAGTCAATTATTAGATATATGATTTTCAAGGATTTTTTGTTCAATCTGAGTCATACCTTTGTATTTACTTAGTTATTACAAAGCATAGAGATTTTTAATTTCAAAAAAGTCCAATTTGGGGGCTGGGGATGTGGCTCAAGCCTGGCATGCGTGCGGCATGCGTGTGGCCCGGGTTCGATCCTCAGCACCACATACAAACAAAGATGTTGTGTCCGCCGAAAACTAAAAAATAAATATTAAAAATTCTCTCTCTCTCTCTCTCTCTCTCTCTCTCTCTCTCTCTCTCTTTCTCCTCTCTCACTCTCTCTTTAAAAAAAAAAAGTCCAATTTGTTCTTTTATGGATGTGCTTTTCATATATAAGAAATCTTTGCCCAACCCAAAGTTGCAAAGATCTTTTCTTATGTCTTCTGGTAGTTTTATAATTTTAGGTTTGTATTTAGGTCTACAATCTACTATGAGTTAATTTTTGTGTATGGTGAGAGGTATAGGTTAGAGTTTTTCCTTTTTTTTTCTTTTGCATATAGATATGCAAATGTTTCAGCACTATTTGTTAAAGAGACTACTCTTGTTCCACTGAAATGGCTTTGTATCTTTGTCAAAAATCAGAAGTCAATTATGTGGGGCTCTATTTTGTACAATCTATGATGTTCCACTAATCTAATTGTTAATATTTTCACCAACACCTTTGTCTTTTGTATTATTGTTTTAAAATAAGTCTTGAAGTCAGGTATTGTTAGTTCTCCAACTTTATTCTTTTTCAAAGTTGTTTTAGCTAGTGTAGGTCATTTTCATTTACATATGAATTTTAAATCAGTTTATCAATTTCTATAAAAGTTCTGCTAGGATAGCATTGAATCTATAAATAAATAATTGCAGAAAATTAGTATTTTAACAATGTTGAGTTTTGTAAACCATGAGCACGATATCTATTCTGTTTCTTTGAGTAACTTCTCAACGGTGTTTTGTAATTTTTAGTATAACCGTCTTCAACATGTTTTGTCAGTTTATCACTATTTCATATTTTTATGTGATTATAAAGAATATTGTTTTCTAAATTTCAATTTTTGATTGTTCATTGCTAGTATGAAAGTTTTTTTTTTAATTTACAAAATTTACTCCTCACTGGGTACTGCTGCTAGATTAAGTATTAGAATTTATTAAAACATCCTTCAGAACTTGAGAACTTTTCTCTCTAAAGGCTCTGATTCCAATCCAAATTGGTTGCTTAGAGTAATACATGGTAGGCACAGAAGCTATGAAAAAATGAAAATATTTGAAACACTGGTGATCTGTTTGATTTGTCAGAATTTGGGTGGGGAGCCATAAAGAATGTACAATTTGCTGCCATAATAGCAGCAAATCCTTTACCTGCTTTGTGCCATTTGGGAACAATAATAAATACCATTGGAAAAATCTACATTGATGAAAATAGAAGGACACATTAGGTTGAGGATTAACCCCCCTGTTTATTTCCTTGGTAGTAAACACTCACGTTGTTGACTTGCATGATGTTTTAAGGCACAAGTGATTTGCAAAAATTGATATTTTGGAGAGAATTCCTGGGAAACTACTGTCATATCATCTATTATACTGGACTTTTGGTGACAGCTGCCCAAAAACTTACCATGGCTAATTGTGCCCTCTTGAAGCTAATGCGAAACTCACTGGCCATCTGATTTGGATTCTGTTTTTGTCTGAGCCTTAAGGAATGACTCACTGCATTGACAAGCTATAGAGCAATGAAAGTTCTGAAGTTCATCAGCAGAAGGTGCCAAAGTACCATAGATTGATATTTGGAATATCAAATTACATACAGCTACACAACCAATACGAGAATCAAGCACAAACAGAACTAACAATTTCAAATGAAATGGTTTGATTTAATCATATGGGTGGCATTTTGCTGCAGTGAAGCATTGCTCACAATGTGAATGTCATGTTGCCGTTTCCAGGGTACACTTCTCTGAGTATACAAGCCTGTGTCCTCTGGATCTAGTTAACTGCACCTCTGAACTTTGCTCATTAGCCTGTGTCAATCTAAGTAGTATCACTTGGCAGCAGTCCTACAGCAAATGTGAGAATGAGGGCTCTGAAATCAAGAGTGTTAGTATATAAGCACAAAAGATGATTTCCACTTTGAGAACTTTGAGAAAAGACCTGGGGCCTTCATTATCCAGATATGTGGGTAGAAAATATTTTCTGAGGGCTTGACATGCAACCCAGAATCTATGATTGACTGATTTGTCACAAGAAAGACAAAGCCCCAGACATTACCAGGTGTACTTTGCAGTGAGGTGGATGGACAATAAAAAATAGCAGCTAACAGTGATTGAATGCTTGTATGGTCTAAGTACTTCACATGTTATAATTCATTACACTCTTATAACAATGCATTTGAATAAATAACAATTTCTATTACCACCATTTAACAGATGGAAATGTCATGGAGCATCCATAACTTGTCCAGGATTACATTACTAGAAAGAGGCAGAATCAGGATTTGAACCCCACCATATATCCACTATATCTACTGCTTCTCAGTCTCCTAGAGAAATACATATGTAATGTCAAGTATTGATATTGCTTTGCAGAGAAGGCAGGACATAGAGGTGAGAGAATATTTGGAAGTACTAATTTTAGGTGAGGTTGTTAGGGAAGGTGTATTAGTCAGCTAGGGACGTTGTAACAAAATACCCTCAAGAATAAATACTATACATAGTAGAAATTCATTTTTTCATGGTTCTAGAGACTGAAAGCCCAAGATTATGATGCCAACAGGGTTGGTTTTTGGTGAGGCCTCCCTCTTTGGCTTCAGATACTGTCCTTTCCTCTTCATGCATGTGCTTCTGGTGCCTCTTGTCTCCTAAGTCCTTTCAGATGAGCGTTCTTATGACTTCATCAAACTTTAATTACCTCATTGAAAGCCTATCTCCAACTGTAGTCATGTTGGTGTTAGGGCTTCAACATATAAATTTGGGTGAGGGGGACACAATTCAGTCCTTAACAAAGTTTCTCTGAAATGCTAGCTTTTGAGCAGAGATTTGAATGAAGTGAAAAAATAAGCCACCATGTTCCTGTAGGAACAGAGTTCCATAGAGAGGGAATAGTAAGTCCTGGGATTAAAGTGTTTGGGGAAGGGAAGGGAAGGAGGCCTGTTGTGCCTGGAGCATACTGAGGAAGGGGAAATTGCTACAGCTTTCGAGAATAATTGATCTGAAACCCAACACTGCCAAGGAAATGTGTGCAAAGTGTGGTTTATGAAACTCTAATTCTATTATATTTTGTTTTTTCCTTGGAAAGTGATTGAATTAGCATAGAGAATATTGGGCTAAGTAGATTCTTTACTGCAAAGTTTCTTGGGACTTTTAATTTGGTAAGGAACATCGTAAATTCCCAAGGGGATATGGCATACAGCCTTTCCTAAATTTACTAGATAATTGAGTCCTTTTGGAAAACAGAATCTCATTGTCTGCAGAATACCTTTCTGGGCGTAGAAATCTATGTAAGGAGGTTTGTCCAGGTGCTCTGAACATTTGGGTTTGGGATTCTTAAGTAGGGTCCAGGTGGAAAGGGAACAAATTATGCTGAGAATTTATTTTGTGGATTTCATTGTCTTAGTTTTTGTTTGCATAATTTTTGCTAGCGCAATATGGCCCCAATAATTCATTCTCTTTGTCCTTTTGTTCATGAAACAGCCCCATGTCTGCTCATGCTAGTTGTCAAAGTTAATTTTGTTTATGGGGAAAATGATCATTGGAACGTGCCCACCTGAGCATAGATTCTTGTACTCCCACTATCTCTGTGATGAGGGTACATATGTGATGTTTCTAGTTAGGTGTTCAGTATCAGTAGACTGAAGAAGGAATGGTGGCTCCTGGGGAAGAGCCTAAGGGTTCAGTGTCCACTCTGGGGTCTGCAAGGAAGATGAAGGCATTTGACACATCAAGAAAGTATTTGTTGTTTGAACTGATGTGCAGTATCCAGTATGAAAGTTCTGCTTGATTCAGTTCTTCTCTCCCTTGACTCAGTAGTTTTTTTTACAAATCAACAGATTTATGAAATAATAGATAAGAACAGAGGTTGATTTACCATGAAGGCAATAAAGTTCAAATTTCAGTGCCCCTCATTTGCTGGGATCTTTCTAAGACAAGGGAGCAATGCCAGGAATATATGGTTATAGATTTTCTAAAATTCACAAAAGAAAGATATGTTAATTAAATTAGTTAATATTCCAGCTTCCTCTCTGTTTCATTCCTCTTGTCAAGGAGTACTAGAGCAGCCATGGACATTTTGAAGCAGGTTTGGGGGGAAGATGAGTTGGGGTGATACTTAGTTGAGGTCAGTGGAATATTTATGTGGTTTGCAGTAATTTCTGTACATCATTAAGTTGTAGTTAACTGTCAGGGGTATAGAAATGGCTTCCAGAAATACTCCTACTATCCTCTGTGCTGATTCTTAGAATTGTGACTCAATGGTGCAGGGGCAAAAGTCTCTATTACAATATGAATGGGTCCTTTGCACTTCAGGACATACCAAGTAGAGGAGGAACAGATTTTGAAATGTGTGAAACCAGAAGCTACTCTGGAATATGCCTCCAGACATTATATGTAAAAATTGTAAGTGGAAGATTTGATTCTTACTGAAACTCTGTGAAAATAAAAATTCTCCCTGTGATGAGAAAATTATAAATGCAGTGTATGTTTTTGTACGAGTTGAATACAACAGAATTTGTCAGAGTTCTTGTGTTTGAGGATGAAACCAGTAAGAGTGGTACAGCAGCAGTGAGTATATCTTTCTTGTTACGGTTTATGCATCCCAAGCTATTGGATTACACTTTAGCATGTACAAGGAACCTCATGCATTGGTCCTGAGAACGTTTGGTGGTTCTGGGGAAAAAATTCCCCAAACATGAAGAATATCCACTTGACAGAGCAGGGAACTATAGAAACAAGTGTTCTAGTAACAAAGCTATATGTGTAATGAAAGTTCAACAGATGCACTGTGAGTGTTATTTAATTATAGTTATGTAGTTCAGTACCACATATGGCAATTAAAAAATAGATTTAATTCCTCCAGTGAATCTTATTAATATTTCTCAAAATTATCCCAAAATTCAAATATAATGAAAAGGAAATTTCTTAGTGGAAGCTAAGAAATGAAACGTTGAAAGATTGCTATAATTTGGGAATGTAAAAACAAATAAAAGCACCCAATTTGTTAGCTTTTTAAAATTGGACTTTGTTGTGTCTTTTTTTAGAGTAAGAAAATACTTTCAGGGCTGGGGATGTGGCTCAAGCAATAATGCGTTTGCCTGGCATGCGCAGGGCGCTGGGTTCAATCCTCAGCTCTACATAAAGATAAAATAAAGATGTTGTGTCCACCGGAAACTGAAAAATAAATAAACTAACTCACTCTCTCGAAAAAAAAAAATACTTTCACACGAAATTTTGGTTTTACAAGTTTGTATTCTTTTCTCTTAAAAAGGACCCCCCTTCCAGATGTACAAGCTTCAAATACCTACAATCTGGATCTGCTGTAAAGTAAGAATAGCAATTTTCTAGAATAATAAACACTGGAAGACGTACCAGAGCCTTCCTGCTCATTTTGTGATTTTGAAATCCTCCAAGTTGTGCATCCTACTATAATCCTGGAAGCTGATATCTTCTAATTAGTCTCTCTGGCTATTCGAAGGCTCTGGGAGGTCTTTCTAATTTAGTAGGCCCCACCAGAGGAGCATCCAATGAGGGTAGTCATATTCAGTATTAAAAGTGGGGGTAAAAATGATGCCAGAAACTCCACAGAATATGTCAGAGAAGAGCTTCAACTGAGTAGAAATTCAATTTAATTCAGACACCATTAATCAACTTTATGCATTACTTTTAAATCGAAGGTCAACCTGTTTTTACAGTATAATATTATTCCTAAATATGTCACAGAGAAGATAATTCAACATGATACCATTACATATAGTTGGAAATATAAATTGAAATGCTGTTTTAAAACAAACCTTAAATCTTACTTAAGTTTCCCTTTAGGGAAAAAAAAATATCCTTGCAACTTGTGCAATACCCTACAGTAAGTCCACAGCACTCATTTAGGCTCGAGTGTTTGCAGATGAGTGACAAATCTGTTGGTTTGCACAAGTCCTGCCTTCTGTCCAAGGCCTGTAGTTTAAAAAAATCATTGCTACAATATAGGATTCTTTCTCTCATTAGCAGAGGAAGTAGAGCAGTAAGTCTGTATTAATCACTTGGGGGTAACCTACCAGGCCATCATTAGAATTTTTTGCCAAGGTAATAACAGAAAAATAACAGCTGTTTGTATAAAGAAACTGGGAGCTCATTTGCACGGCTACTAGAGGCAACAGGGAGATTAATGCATGTTGTCAGTTCTACAGGTTTAATTTGACTTGCGTTAAAATAGCATCAATATACATCTCCCCTTGTCATTCATTCGCTCTGAATGCTGATTAATTTACTCTCATTTCACCCTGAATGCTGCCAGGCAGTAATGAGTTGTAGCCATCTGGCAGTCCTATTTTATCTTCCCCACTCCCCTAAAAAGCTGCAGAGACAGGGACATTCTTTCCACAGGCAGCCATCCAGCTGCTCAGAGTTGCTGGCCTTTCTCTGGGGGAATGCAGGGCAGATGTCAGTCCAGACAGTGGATTCC